TTCCTACCCGGCGCCAAGCAAAAGTGGAATGTACCCTAAGTAGCTCTGGCCTTCTTCCTGCTCCCTAGCTTCCCAATTCCGCCCCCTGTCCCGCTGCCGCCCGCGGCTCTCCTTTCCCTTCTAGGAACAGCTCAAGCGCCTTGGTCACCTCCATCGGGTTCTGCACCGAGTTCTGCACCGAGTTCTGCATCATAAATATGACCTTCGTTTAGGATTTAAGTGTGAACTTCTGCAGGCTCTCGGACCCTGAAGCACGGGGGGCCAGACATTCCGAGCTCCCGGCGGTAGAGGGGACGCAGAGGAACAAATTGGGACAACTCGAGGACGCTGAGGCAGAGCAGGCCCACCCCAGGCCCGCCCCGCCCGCTTTCCAGCACCAGTTCTCTGGGGCCGGCTCCCAGCCCCTCTCTCACCCTTCAAATCCCGCTCCGCGGCTGGACTCTCGTGATAGCTGAGACTTGTCCCGGAAGGCCCGCCCCCTTCGCCGGAGAGGCCAATGGGCGAGGGCAACGGTTGCGACGGTTGGGTTTTGAAGGAGCCAATGGGCGCTCAGAGCGGAGAGTTTAAGAGGCGTAAGCGAGGCGTGTTAAAGCCGGTCGGAACTGCAACTTGCTCGGGAGGGCACGGTGAGAGGCGGCGGGGCTGAGCCTGGTTCGGGTCGTGGCCAGGGGGAGGGGGTGCTAGGCCAGAAGGGGCAGCAACCGAGGGTGGCCCTGATTGTGTGGCCGGCCAGGAGCGAAGGGGTCCTTTGCTGTCCCCTGAGCACCGTCGCCTCTTTTCCTCCAGGGCTCCGCAGGCACCAACTGCAAGGACCCCTCCCGCTGCGGGCGTTCCCATGGCACAATTCGCGTTCGAGAGTGACCTGCACTCGCTGCTTCAGCTGGATGCACCCATCCCCAATGCACCCCCTGCGCGCTGGCAGCGCAAAGCCAAGGAAGCCTCAGGCCCGGCCCCCTCACCCATGCGGGCCGCCAACCGATCCCACAGCGCCGGCAGAACTCCGGGCCGAACTCCTGGTCAGTGAGGTGCCAAAGGGACTGGGTGAGAGCAGCCTTCATACTTTCCCCCCCGGGAGCCTGGTCAGACTGTCTTCTCTTTCTCCGCCCCAGGCAAATCCAGTTCCAAGGTTCAGACCACTCCTAGCAAACCTGGCGGTGACCGCTATATCCCCCATCGCAGTGCTGCCCAGATGGAGGTGGCCAGCTTCCTCCTAAGCAAGGAGAACCAGCCTGAAAACAGCCAGACGCCCACCAAGAAGGTATGTGTCCCAGAGGGGCTTAAGGCACGGGACCCGACTGTTCTTTGGATAATACTATCTTGCTTCTCCACTACCCTTTATGCCAGGAACATCAGAAAGCCTGGGCTTTGAACCTGAACGGTTTTGATGTAGAGGAAGCCAAGATCCTTAGGCTCAGTGGAAAACCACAAAATGCACCAGAGGGTAAGACCCGAAGTTCCTGGTTCCTGGAGGGAGGTGTCAGTTCATCTCCAGGGCTGAGCACAGATATCTGTCTGCTCTTATCTAAGACTGAGGGCAAGGGAGGTGTTGATTTTCCCAGCGTCTGGACCCACTCTGTTGCCACAGGTTACCAGAACAGACTGAAAGTACTCTACAGCCAAAAGGCCACTCCTGGCTCCAGCCGGAAGACCTGCCGTTACATTCCTTCCCTGCCAGACCGCATCCTGGATGCCCCTGAAATTCGAAATGACTACTGTAAGTGCATCCTTATCCATGCCTCATGGATGGAGAAAGAGGGCCTGGGACCACACAAACAAGGAAGCCCATGCTCTTCTCTCCGCCTCTGACAGACCTGAACCTTGTGGATTGGAGCTCTGGGAATGTACTGGCCGTGGCACTGGACAACAGTGTGTACCTGTGGAGCGCAAGCTCTGGTGACATCCTGCAGCTTTTGCAAATGGAGCAGCCTGGGGAATATGTATCCTCTGTGGCCTGGATCAAAGAGGGCAACTACTTGGCTGTGGGCACCAGCAGTGCTGAGGTGCAGGTGAGACATGTCCTGTGCTGCCATTCACACCAGTCCCAATAGGCTTGCACAGCTGGAGGATATTAATGCCAAGTCCCAATCTCTGATCCTAGTGGGCTTCTCTCTCTAGCTATGGGATGTGCAGCAGCAGAAACGGCTTCGAAATATGACCAGTCACTCTGCCCGAGTGGGCTCCCTAAGCTGGAACAGCTATATCCTCTCCAGGTCAGTGGTTTTTGTTGGTCTATGATAGTCTGATATTTGCCCACCCTACCCTTGACTGTACACCCCTGAACTGAACCACCTCTGGCTTGCTTGCATTTGGTGCTGCCACAGAACCTGATTCCCTTCTTTCCTCCTCCAGTGGTTCACGTTCTGGCCACATCCACCACCATGATGTTCGGGTAGCAGAACACCATGTGGCTACACTGAGTGGCCACAGCCAGGAAGTGTGTGGGCTGCGCTGGGCCCCAGATGGACGACATTTGGCCAGTGGTGGCAATGATAACTTGGTCAATGTGTGGCCTAGCGCTCCTGGAGAGGGTGGCTGGGTTCCTTTGCAGACATTCACCCAGCATCAAGGGGCTGTCAAGGTGAGTAGGGTTGGGCTGAAGCCTCTGCAGACCCTCACCTATAACCTGGGGACTGTTAAGGGGAGAAGGGATGGTAGGATTGGACTGGGTTAATCTGTGACCCCCAGAGCTCCTTGTCTAGCTCTAGTACCTGCTGACCCCACCTTTATCCCATCTAGGCCGTAGCATGGTGTCCCTGGCAGTCCAATGTCCTGGCAACAGGAGGGGGCACCAGTGATCGACACATTCGCATCTGGAACGTGTGCTCTGGGGCCTGTCTGAGTGCTGTGGATGCCCATTCCCAGGTAATCTGTCTCTCCCACATGCATTCTTACTGGGCATCCACATCGAGAGTGCATCCATTCCAATGTCTTCACCAACTCTGTGCCTTGGTGATTCCCAAACTTCTAACTCATGAGCTTCATTTCCAGCAGTCTGTGGCTGTCTCCAATCCCATGTCCTATAAGCACCACTACCTTGATCTGTCCCAAATTAACCTTTTCACTTCCCCTTGCCTCCCTGAAATGTTCCTTCCTCTGTCACATTGCTTTGGAATGGCAGAACCTGCTCAGAAATCTGAAAAACCTCCTAGAATTTTTCATCCTCCTCACCAAGATCTATCAGTTTTACCTCAAAATATCATTGACATCTGTCCCCTCCCCTCAGCCTCATCCTTCCCAGTGGAGGCCCACCACAATGCTTCCTCATTGGTGTCAAGCATTCTTTGTTATCTCCTGCAATGCATCCTCCATGCTGTGGTTTGTTACACTATACTGTCCTTAAACCTGTGATGGCTTCTCATCACCTATGGCATATAATTCAAATCCATTAGAAAGATGCTTGAGGCTCTCTCCTTCCACTCGCCTCACATTAAGCCTTCACTGTAGATATGGACTCTAGAGCCAGACTGCCCAAGTTAAAATTCTGGCTTCATCATCTGCTAAACTTGAATGTGACCTTTGGCAACCTATTGAACTTCCTTCTGATTGATTCCTCATCTGTACAATGGGTAATACAGATGCTCCCCGATTTAAGTCCCAGTAAACCCATTGTAAAGTTAAAAATGGTTACGTCAGGGAGTGTCTATAATTTGCCTCTCAAGGAACTTTTGTATGGACTGTGATCATTCAACTCTGAGTCTGGAGCACGTGGCAGGGTGCCTAACACTAGAATGGGCTCAGTTCTGACTTAAGTAGCCTTGGCTATATGTCATGCCCACACTGGCTCCTCTCCACAGGTGTGCTCCATCCTCTGGTCTCCCCACTACAAGGAGCTCATCTCAGGCCATGGCTTTGCACAGAACCAGCTGGTTATTTGGAAGTACCCAACCATGGCCAAGGTGGCTGAACTCAAAGGTAAGTGGCTAGGTAAAAAGCCAGACATAAAAGGCCACATAATGTATGACTGAAATGTCCAGAATAGGCAAATCCACAGAAAAAACACATTAATGGTTGCCAGGGGCTGAGGAGAGAGGGTAATGGGAAGTGTTGAAAATGTCTTAGAATTAGTTTTAACAGTTGTACAATTTTGTGAATATACTAAAAACCACTAAACCGTACACTTTAAAAGGATGCATTTTATGGTATGTGAATTATATCTCAGTAACACCATTGAAAAAAGAGAGGAGGCCGGGCGTGGTGGCTCACACCTGTAATCCCAGCACTTTGGGAGGCCAAGGCGGGCAGATCATGAGGTGAGGAGATAGAGGCCATCTTGGCTAACACAGTGAAACCCCGTCTCTATTAAAAATGCAAAAAAGTAGCCGGGCATGGTGGCGGGCGCCTGTAGTCCCAGCTACTTATGAGGCTGAGGCAGGAGTGGGAGGCGGAGCTTGCAGTGAGCCCAGATTGCACCACTGCACTCCAGCCTGGGCAACAGAGTAAGGCTCCGTCTTAAAAAAAAAAAAAAAAAAAAAAAAAAAAAGGGAGGCATGTGCCTCCTTTATGGGAGGGCTATGGCTGCATCAACATTTGTATGTACTGTTCTCATTTGCTCCAGGTCACACATCCCGGGTCCTGAGTCTGACCATGAGCCCAGATGGGGCCACAGTGGCATCCGCAGCAGCAGATGAAACCCTGAGGCTATGGCGCTGCTTTGAGTTGGACCCTGCGCGGCGGCGGGAGCGGGAGAAGGCCAGTGCAGCCAAAAGCAGCCTCATCCACCAAGGCATCCGCTGAAGACTAACCCATCACCTCAGTTGTTTTTTATTTTTCTAATAAAGTCATGTCTCCCTTTGTGTTTTTTTTTTTAATCTGTTTCAGCTAATCCCTCTTCTTTCATGATCCCAGCAGCCTTCCTAGGGGCTCTACTCTACTGGGATCAGAGAGCTAGATATGTCCTCTGGGAGCCTGGACCATCATCCGTTGCTCCTGTTTGTGGACAGGGCTAAGCATGTTGTGTTCCCCCACCTCCTCCATTCACACATGTATACACACAGCCTCTGTGGTTTCCTCTGTCACTTTTAATTTAAGACACAAGTGAGTAAGCAGCCTCTACAGGCTGTATTCCCAGGCCCCCGCCCACCCTGACCTTTGGCCCAGAAGCTACTGCTTCAGCGTGTGGGGTGGAGGAGGGAGACTGGGTCCACAGTGACATTATTGCTGACCTCTTCTGTGAGAAAAAAAGCCACGAGACCCTTGTGGGGCCAGCCCTGAGTGCTCCTCTCCCAAGTTTAAGGCAGGGAGTGGGAAGTAACTGTACAGCCCTTTTAGCCCCCAGCTCTGGAGTGGCAGACAGCAATGAGGCCACATCCCTGGAGCTGGCTGGGGGAAGTGGGTGAGGAACCAAAGCCGTGGTCCCTGTAGAGCAGCTGTGGGGAGGGGAGGGCCAGTCCCCTGCTCAGTCCTGGCCACATAAGCCTTGGTCACAGGTGTAGGTGGAGAGGGCACTGACGGACGCTGCCCAAGGTGCAGTCAGTCCTGAGGCACTTAGGTGGGCGCCTATCTAGGCCATGCTTCTCAGTTGGCCTTGACCTTGGCAATACCTGGAGCTCCATTTTGCTGAAGTGCACGGGGCAGCCGCTTGCCCTTGGTATAAGAGTGATACCAGAAGTTGGAGAACAGCATGAAGAAGATGGTGCCATACATCCAGATGAGGTGAATAATGACTGGGTGCTGGTAGTTACAGCTGGACATAAAGTAGTACTGGGAGATGTGCAGTGAGACCAGGACAAATTGGATCTAGGATAGATAAAGGTCAGGGTCAGAGGGAATACTGAGAGAACTAGAGGGGAAGAGCATATAGAGAAGAGAAATGTTGAGTAGGGACAGATGGGGTCAAAGGTGAGACAGACTGGATAAAGGGAGGATCCAGGCTAGGAATGTGGGGGGATGGTTATAGGTAAGTCAGGCCAAGCCCCTCACCAGCTGAATGGCTGTCATGTGCTTTTTCCACCAAAGATAGGGTTGAGCCACAGGGCCAATGGCAGACAATCCGTAGTACAGGTACATTATGACATGCACAGAAGAGTTTATCATGGCATGGAAAGAGCCCATTCCTCCTGTGAGTAGACAATAAGACAGGGTCAGCAGAGTCCAGCCTCTGGTGCCCACCCTTTCCCATAGTGGCCTTCACCACTCACCCGGGGCAATCTTTACCCCCCACCACCAGCTCCAGGGAAGCACAGAGTGATGGAAGACATGTAGGAAGGTCACCTGCCCATCTTTCTTTCGGAGAATAAAGATCACCTGAGAGAAGAGTGAGGGAAGGGGATTCAGAACCTGGGCCTCTCCACCTCATTCTCCCCACAAGTTTTCACATCTCATATAACTACTTACTGTGTCCATCAGCTCAATGAACTTGGAGAAGAGGAAGAGCCAGGCCACCCGAACCATCTGCAAGAAGTTGGGATAGCCTTAGGACCTCATACGCTGTTCTAAGAGCCTCCCTAAATTGGGCCTTGAGCACAGGCCCCAAACTGGTCATATCTACCAGGTTGCTTATGACCTAGCCCCAGCCCCTACTTACCCTAAGTGCCTCAGGGCTGTTGGAATAGTCCACAGGGTCACAGCGCCAGGTATAGGTGCTCAGCCAGCCTGACATCAGGAACTAGGAAGGGATGTGGATTAGACCACCAGAGTTCTCCCTTCCCAGCCATCCCTCCCCTTCACTAGCTGAGGACATGTATCTGAACCTCTCTGGAAAGGAGAAATGCCATGCTCTGGCTCTATGGCCTGCTCCTTATCCTGCTGACAGAAATTAAAGCCCAGCATCCCAGGGGCCCACCTCATAAACAATGTAGAGGGAGAGTGCCACTAGTGAGAAGTTGTAGACAATCATGAAGCCACGGAGCTGGAAGGGCTTTCGATTAGCCATGATGCGAGGCCCAAGTGACAGAACGAAGTACACGTAGGTCAGGAGGATGGAGGTCATTAGCAAGGGGGACCCCATCAGAGGGTAGCCCTGGATCCGGGGATCTATGAATAAGGGTCAAAGAATCAGGAAGAGTCACAGGGTTTGAAGGGTCTTCATTAGGTCTACAGACATGAGGTCAGGTCGCAAAGGGTCAAGGGGTTCATAGGAACTCTCCATTAGAAGACAGCCCTAGATCCAGGGATCCCGGGAAAGAAGAGAGGAAAGGGCTGGTGGACAGTGTCTTACCTGCGTGCTTCATCATCTCTTGGTACAAGTTTATAACAGCCTCCATCCTGGCTCAGGACTCTGGGGAGGTACAGAGGGTGGATGTCAGACAGAGCCCACTGCACACCCCCATCCCACAGAGATAAGACACAGAACCAGACAAGAAAACTCCCAATGCCTCATTGCAGAAAGGACAGAACAGTGAAAGGAAGGAATTACTGGTAACTAGTGGGAGGAGGCAGTTTGGTTGAGGCATCTGCTCCCCACACGTCCTCCCTGCCTGGGAAGGGCTGTTCTACCCTTCCTCTCCACACCTTACTCTCCTTTCCTCTCCTCTCCTCTCCACAGTTTTACTTCCTGGCCTCCCTTCCCCTCTTCCTCCACAAAAGGACTCTCAATTCCAGGTCTCTTATTGGAGAGTCTTACCTTCTCACCAACAGGGAGCTCTTGAAATCCATCTCCCTTCCTCACCCGAGTCCCTCACCCCCCCCCCAGCTCTGGGTCTTTCTTCTCTCTCAGGATTCTCCCCTTCAATCTCTCCTCTCCTGCCCTCTCTACTTCCCGTCCCTCTGGACCCTTCCAGGAACTCTCTTCTTCTCCCCAGGGTCCCTCCTGCCCCTGCCAGGACTCTCACCTCCCTGGGCCCTTCTTTTCCCTGCAGAACCTTATCCTGGGATTCCTCCTTGCCTGTGCTGGGACATTCATCTCCCTACGTTTCTCCTCTGCCTTCCCGGGGCTCTCACCTCCAGCCTCTCCTCTCCAGCGCTCTCCTCTCTCCTCTCGCAGAGCCCTTCCTCTCCTGGAGCCTGGCTCTTTGAGACTCCTGCCCCGGCGGCTCCACCTGTCTGACTAGATCTGGCAGCAGCCCCGCCCTCTGCCCGCCCCCGCTGTACTGCGCATGGGGTGGAGGGTGGGTCCAGGCCACAGGTCAGTGCCTGGGGAAGCAGGACCCACCAGGATTGGGAAAGCCAAGTAAAGCCCCAGGCTCACCACCCAGCAACCCGGGACCAGCCTGATGAACTAAGGTCCTAGGTTCTGAGCCAGAAACCTCCTCCGACCCTAGTCCCAGCCCCAGCCCTGGCCCAAAGCACTGCTGAAAATCCACACCCAGCATCCTCTCCTAAGCTGGCCAGAACTTCTCAGTTTGTCCTACTTCAGAATGGGTACAATCACTCTTCCCCTCCTGGGAAGGCAGGGAAGCCAGTGGCATGTGAGGGGGTTGGGGAGTGGGGGAGGTCGCAGGAATCTTCCCCTCCCTCAGGGAGGGGCCCTAATGGGCTAGGCCCCCTCCCCCTCAGGGCCTAAAGGAATGTCGGGGGAAGGCTTCCAGGGACATAAAAGCCTCTGGCCAGACCCAGGAGAGTATGGTACTGACAATCCCTGAGGGACAAGGCATTCTTGGAACAGAGCAGGGCCCAGGGCAGCAGGTGCCCCAGATTCCTTGCTTCCAGAGAAGCACCTGTGCAGGTGCGAAGTGAAGAGGCGCACCTCTGTCACCTCCCCGCCCCGCACACCCCTCACCTCCAGGAGGCCCGACTTCTTTAGGCCCACCGTGGTCAGGCCCCAAGCCTGCGGTCCACACCCACCCCTCACCCAGCTCTCCACCCCCAACGGCGAAGGCGCCACGCCAAGGGCTGGCACACATGTTTCCTGCCTGACACACCACCCAGCACCTCCGTGGGCTGACACGCATGGCTCCCGGCCCTCACGCAGCTCGGCCGCCGCCCAGGCACACGCACGGGCTCACCCGCGGGGCCACTCACACACGTGTGCGCGCTGCTTGGCCACGCTCGGATCCCCTCCTCACTTGCTCCCCCACCATCGGGCTTGCTGGCCGCCCATCCCCGGCAGGGCCCAGGCCGGGGCGAGGGCGCCAACACAGGTTCCTCCCTGACACATGGGAGCCAGCCAGCCTGTTATCTCTCAACCACCAGCCCCCAAGATCAACCCACACACCCGGCAGACCAGGAGGGACCAAGGCTCCTGGGAGGACCTCTCCCCAAGCTGCAGGAAAATCTGGGTGTGTCCCTCGTCGGGGAACTCAGCCCGTCCCTTCCTTCCTTTAAGATGGATCGAAGGGAAAAGGAGCCTGGCAAAGTTAGGGGAGCCGGGGGAGGGAAGGGAGAGGAGGAGGGAGAGGGGTAAAAGCACGGGTGGTGGAGGAAGGCCTGGGTGTAGGCAAATGGGGGCCAGAGACGGGGGTGTGGGGGAGGGAGGGTGCTGGCGAGGCCCGGCCCCAGGGAGCTGGGACCTCCCACCCACTGGCTCCGGGAACAGCCTCTCCCACAGCCTGGGCAGGGCAGGGCAGAGCTGGGCCGGGCTGGCAAGGCAGGGGGCGCCGGCACGTGGAGAGCCCGTGGAAGGTCCAGACTCACCCGTAGGGGCCAGGCGGGCAACGGCGGAGGGCTTGGAGGGAGCAGGGCCACAGAGAAGTCCCCGGGGCCAGCCTGCCTGCCTGCCACTTCCTCATCTGCTGGGCCGACTTTCTGTCACCAGAGGGGGAGGGGCG